CAACTGAATTCCATCATTTCCAAATAAATTACCAAATTCATGAACATGAAATGGTAATTTTTTATTTGAATATACTAATGTATTTAATCCTATAATACTACCATTTATATTTATATTTAAATTATTATTTAAATTTAAATTTATATTATTATTATTATTTACATTGTTATTATTATTTGAATTTAAATTATTATTTAAATATTTAATAAATATAGTACCATGAAGAGATGGCATATGAATAGTACCACGCATTCTACATATTAATTGTGATGATTTATCTTCTTGTTGATTATATAATGGTTTTATTAAATTATTATAATTATCAATATTTGATGATGTAATTGGTGAATTTAATGATATTACTATATTATTACATAATAATAATAATAATAATAATACAATAATAAAAGATGATTGACTATTAATCATCATCCGATGATCAAATAAATGATCAGTTAAAAACTTATTGATCATATTTATATAACAGTAACAAAGATTGAGTGGTAGGTGTAATAGTACTATAGAAAAGTATTGATCAATGATATTGTGATGATGATAAATGATATCAATACTACTCTTCAACAAATAGTACTATGTTAGTAGTGGTAGCTATTTGTAATCGAATGTCAAAATAATTTTTTTATTAAATAATAAATTTGATTTCAAACATGTTTGAACTTGTATTACATCTATCACATAATCTAATAATAATAATAATTAATAATAATCTAATCTATGAATAACACACATGTAATCTCTATATAAATTAATGTTTAAAATATTTTTCACATTGAACACCAATTCCAGCAACTTGATTTGACATGAAATATTGAAAACCTTCTCTAGTTAAATCTTGTTTCAATTCTTCTTCTTCTTCTTTTTGATTATTATTATCAATAATATTATTAATATCATTTAATAAAATAAAACCACATCCACCACCACCTGCACCTGTTAATTTAGCATGTAAATTATATTTAGATGCAATTTTACAAATTAAATCTAATTTAGGATGACCAGTTCCAATATCATTTAATAATGAATGATTTTTATCAATTAATTCTTCCATTTTTAATCTTAATTCATTTGAAAATAAATGTGATGAATTAATTTTTAATTGATTTAAATATTCATCTGAAATATTTTGAATATCATTTAAACATTTTTCATAAAATTCAAAATTATTTTCTCTACGTTCTCTAACACCTTGAACAATTAATTTTGTATTTCTTTCAACACGTGTATTAACAATTAAAATACGCATATTTGGTAATATTTGTGGTGATAAAAATTCTTGAATTTTACCTTGTGAAAAACTAATTACACCTCCAAATGTAGAAACTGAATTATCAATACCAGATGGTGTACCATGAATTAATGATTCAACAAAATATGACCATTCATTAATATATTTTAATACATTTTCATTTGTTTCATTCTTATTTAAATTGTTATCATTTAAATTATTATTTAAATTATTATTAATATCATTGGTATTAGCACTATTACTATCATTTAAATTATTATTATTAATATCATCAGTATTATTAATAGATTGATGATTAAATTGAATAGAATGATAATTAATTCTATTAAATAAAATT